CAGGCAAACAAAAATTTATTTTCATTGAACGCAGGCTGTGTAATAACAAGTAAGAATTTCAATTTAAGTTACGAAAAATTCGATTAATATTGAAATAAAAAATAATTTTAGCGTATTATTTAACATCTTAATAAATATAATTATGTTGAATCATTATACTGTCTTATACCTATTGACAATTGTTGCTTTAATTCAATGTATGCCAGCAAACATAACTGATTCAGAAGAAGAAGAAGAAGATAATTCTTATGATTATAAAAATAAAATATATTATCGTGAAGTTGACAATAGAATTGAAGGTACAACACAATATATTAAATCACTTGGGATAACTTATCGACAAATTTCAAAAGATGGTCAATGTTTTGTTAATTATGATGATCAATTATTTAGTGAAAATAGTTTAATTAAAATTCGAAAGAAACTTTTTCGAGTTGAATCTTGTTTATTGGAACGTGTTTATCATGCATGTGGTCCAAGATTACTTCTTATGTTAAGTGTTGTTTGTCGACTTGTCGAACAAAATAAAGCATCAGATGAAATTTTAAATTTAAAACGATCAACAAATTTATTATCGATTTATGAAAAAGATTCAACAGCACGTCGAATAAAACGTGTTATTGCAGAATCATGTTGTGAAAATCATTGTACAGTTTCGGAAATTACTCGATACTGTCATTAATTATATATATATTATAACAAATAATCTTATAAGAACTCTTGCATCATTGATTATTTCGTTTATTTTAATCGAATTTTACAGTTTTTCATTTATCTCAATATATAAAATATAAAAAATCCCAAGTTAATTTTTTGTTGCTGTTGTTGTTGTTTATCTTCTGTAAAACTTCAATAAACTTTACCAAGAAAAAAAAAATTTAATTTTTTTTTCTCAAAGAAAATATTTATCTTAGTCTAAAAAAATTTGAGAAATTAAATTCTTGAGTACATAATAAAATGAATAAGTTTTTCTTGAAAAAAACATCAAACCATAAATTTAACATATTAAATAATATACATATAATAAGGATTTTTGAAAGATTAATCTTAATAAGGCTTATTATTTTCAATAAATTCTTCATTTTAAAATAAAATCGAATAATGCTTTTTAAAATAAAGAAAGAATTCATAAACAAGATACAATAGATATATATATGGAAGATATTATTTTAACTTTTGGTCACTGATGGTGGATCTATGCTTGATGAACTTTATCCTTACGTGTAACACATCTAATTAATAATAATGGAGAGTTTTTCTATTCATTTCCGTAAAAATAAACTTAAAAGTGTAGGAGTTTTAGACATGATGATGTTGTTAACGTTGATATTATATATATATGTACATGTATTAAGAAACGAAAATATACGTTATATTTTCTGTCTATCTATTGTCCATAAGAAAACAATTAATTATCTTTCGTAGTTTGACATTATATTGTTGAAAAATATTGATTAATTTAAATGGAAAATAATTCAGTAAGTTCCAAGATGAACAATATTATATAGGGTGTCCGGAAAGTCCTTAGAGTTAGGAAAATTTGCATATCTCCTTTACAGATTGACTAAACGAGCTCATTTTTTTTACCAAAGATAGAGGCATGTTCACACTCCAAATTCAGATGGGCAAGGGTATTCAGAATCTTTGTTAAGTATCACTAT